TTTACAGTATTGATTTATGGTGAAGTATTGCCATTTATTGTCAATTGATAATCATTTTTAGCACAACACCATTCTTTGCATTCTATTTTATTGTCGATTGTTTTATCATTATCACTTATTGAGTTTGTGCAGCACATTTTAAGTAAAAAATACAGTGGCGCTGTCCACTTTTTGGTGACTATGATGGTGCAAGGATTTTTGAGTACACAGGCAAAGATGATTTGGGTGCCCTTCTCCCCCCAAAAGCATCTTCACATGTGTGCCTCTGAATCCGCCTTTTGTTTCTTATCCCCTTTTTTAAACGTCTTACCCCTTTAGTGTATTTTATCCCCTATTTTACCCTATTGTGTCTTACACCTCCCTTGTGTATCTCTTACAACCCCCCTTTGTGTGTCTTACCCCCCCAACCCCTTTGTGTCTTTTACTCTTACCAGCTTCTTTGTGTGTTTCTCTTTCACCACCAGCCCATCTCTCTCTCCCCAGCCCCACTGTGTCTCTTTTTCCTCTTCTCCAGCCTCTCTGTGTCTTTCACCTCCAGCCCCTTTGTATTCCACCCCCAGCCCCTTTGTATTCCACCCCCAGGCCTTTCTGTGTGTTGCTTTCATCCCAAGCCCAACTGTGAACTTTCTCACACCCAGGCCCATCTGTGTGTCTTTCTCACACCTCCTGTCCCTCTGTGAGTCTTTCTCTCCATGCAATAGCAATGCAGCTGAGGATGGGGAGGTGTCTAGGTGCTGGGGAACGCACAGATTTTTGTGAAACCATCTCCAAACGAACATTAAACTAGGGGACAGCACTTAGAAACTCTAGCAAGCTGTAATGGATATGATAATGTCCATTTGAAGTAATATGTTTAAAAAAATGCTAAATTCAAAAGACAATTCAATCAAAGAACAAAATGTTACAATCAGGGATAAGCAACCTTCGGCACTCCAGATGTTGTGGACTACATACAGTAATACAAGAAGTATTACTTTACTGAGAGGGTAGTGGATGCATGGAATAGCCTTCCAGCTGAAGTTGTAGAGGTTAACACAGTAAAGGAGTTTAAGCATGTGTGGGATAGGCAAAAGGCTATCCTAACTATAAGATAAGGCCAGGGACTAATGAAAGTATTTAGAAAACTGGGCAGACTAGATGGGCCAAATGGTTCTTATCTGCCGTCCCATTTTTATGTTTACATATCCCCTGATGCTTTGGTAGCAGTATGCCTATAAGAGCATTATTGGAGATGTTGTCCTCAACATCTGGAGTGCCAAAGATTGTCTATCCATGATCTAGGACACAGTTCCAGAACGTTGTTTTTAATGGAGAAGCTAATAAAGAATATTAGTCATATCTCATGGAATTGCTTTTTATGATCTCACACGTATCCTTGAGAATACTAATAAATGTGTTGATTTCATGATTTCTTATTGAACCTATGACAACATTCTTTGGAACCCTAGTTGGGGAAACAACGGTTCAGGGAAGATCAGCTGACGTCCCGTTCATAGGACTCTTCTCTGATTAGAGACTAATATGTGTTCTTCAAATGTTCCTCCATCTCACTGAGATATGACTGTCTATACTCCTCAGAAGCATTTAACTACAACAACCACAATGCTTTGTCATTCTAAAGGTTGGCAAAGCATCAAGGGACATATAGTTCTAGAATATCAGTGTATCTACTTTGTGGGCACCCTTGATCTAGTATAATATGGCTATTAAATAACCAGTTGCCTAAAGTTTTGGTATATCTCAGAATTTACATGATATCCGTTGATGCCTGAACAACTCTATCACAAAGAATTATCACCAGACAATTTATTTTATTGAATGTAAGAAATATCATTTTCTAACGCATTTAACTTTTATAGATATGCATGTGTTTGTATAAAATATGGTTATAATTTTCTTTCATTCCCCCTCTGCCTCTAAAAATAAATCTGATTTCCTTCCCAAAGTGTCTGCTTGCAACAATAAAAATATACAATTTCGAAACAATGCAAAACAGGGAACCATATAAAAGACTAATAATTAAAAAAAACTACTTAAGGCCGTAAATAGGATTACAATATTTTGCAATGGTAAATCATATTTAATAAGCTTACTAATATCCTCTCAGTTTGTGTAATAGTGATATGAGAAATGTTAAATGAATAAATAAATTAATTGTAAGGAATATAAAATACATACATTGCAAATCAGCTGTTAAACTGGTGCTTTACTGCTCTCTAGTGTTCGCTAGTATTTCTTGGATACACTTCACAGTGATGTAGATTTCGCACTAGGATCACTTATATACAGGGCTGGACTGGGGATACAAAGCAGCCCTGGAACAAAAATCTATGCTAGCACCATAAGTCATTGCGCCATGTATTGTCACCTGTAATATGTAAGGCTATGTCTTGCAACCCCAGATGATTGAGAAATATATAATATATATATATATATATATAATATTTATTTTCCTAATATAAAATATTGGTCCTTTTAGAGTAAAATATTTAATTATACAGTAAGCATATTCACATGCAGACACAGACAATCTCACTGATACACAACCTCAGACAAACAATCTCACTGATACACATAAGCTCATTGACATAAAAACACAAGCTCACAGATGCACACACATAGGCTCATTGACAGAATCTCACTGGTAGACACAGAAACGTAGTACAGACAAGCTCACTTTCACACACACACTACAGAAAAGCTCACTGATACATGCTTCCTACAGACAAAATCACTGACACACAAATGCTCACTACAGAAAATCTTGTTGACACATGCATGCTCCCCACAGAAAAGCTCACTAACACACACATGCTCACCACAGACAAACTCACTGACACACACACACATACTTCCAGCAGACAAGCTCACTGACACACACAAGCCCACTCACTAGTTAGCAGGCACACACACACACAAGCTCACTCACTAGCACTGGTAGGTGAAGTTACCATTTTGTGACCTCTTCCTTCCAGAAAGGTCAGCAAACTTGTGTGCGGAAAGCGGGGCTATGTTCAGGAGGCGGGGCATGCGGCCGAAATTGCTGTAAATTGTGCAGGGAGACTGACAAGTCTCTCTCCGGCCGCCAGCAGCCTAATAGTGGCCACACCAGCCCCCAACTCCTCCCTCTTTACTCCCCTCGGACTGACACAGCCTGACACAATCCAAGGGGAAAAAAACAAACTATATGTGCCTGATGATTTGGGCTGTCCGCAGGTGCCATAGCCCAACTGGAAATTTCCCGGTATCCCGGTGGGCCAGTCCAGCCCTGCTTATATAATGCCAATTTGAGGCTTTTTTTTTTTCAGGTCTGTAATTGCTGAAATTAAGGAGCTACAAGTTAACAGGTGGAAACTCAATATATACTGTATTTAAAAAGTACCTTTATTCTCTGTGTAAATGCATGTCAGCACTAAAGCCTGTCTAGAAACAAAGAGTACTTAATTTTCAATTAATACCATTAAAGGAAAACTATAGGGTCAGGAACACAAACATATATTCCTGACCCTATAGTATTAAAAACACCATCTTGGCCCCCCTAAATATAGTAAAATCTACTGCTAGAGGTGCTTCCTGGCGCAGTGCTGCACAGTGTGACTCACATGTCCTCTGCATGGAGACACTGAACTTTCATCCTAGAGATGCATTGATTTAATGTATCGCTATGAGTAGCTGCTGATTGGACAGGGCTGTGTTTGGCTTGTGCTGGCTCTGCCCAGATCGGCCTCCTTGACAGAATCATTCCTGATTATGTCAGCCAAGCAAGCAGATCAGGGGCATGGTCAGCAGCATCCACCTGAATAAAACTAAGATTTTAATATATTCTGAAGTTGTTATAGTGTCAGTGCACTGCCTTACCTTCATGGGCTAAATGGTTTTTGAACTGCTTAACCTCAAAGTTGGTCCACTGGCATCCATCAGCTCTCCTCTGGCAATATAGGGTTTATTTGGCGCCAGGGATAAGCCAAGTGTCAGCTGATGCTTTCAGCCTATCATTGCAAATAATAGTCCATTCTATTTCTCACAATGGGCAGCCTATGACCAATGGCTACCAAGGCAAACTTTCCTGAACTGCACAGTGGCTGGAAGAGGAGGCAGGTGGTATAGAGGACAGGCTTCAGTGGGGTTTGAACGGTCTGAAAAATTAAGGCACCCAGTGACTCTAGCACCCATAATGTCAAGATAATTCTGGAGTGTTCCTTTAAGCGATTACTGTTCTGTGTAATTCATACTGCTCTGTAAATGTTTAAAAATTAAAGGAATATTCAGTATAAAATATATTAGGGTTTCTCCTCTTTCTTACTCATATCCACATTGTTATGCTTTGTTAATGGTTCCCCCCAAGACCAACAAATTATCTCACTTTTTTTTTTTTTTAAATTGACAGTCAGGGGTTTGATACCAATACAAAGAATTCCGCAATTTTATACTCTTATTTTTCAATATTTTTTCTCTTCTCAATAAATGAGCAGTGGGAAGGAGGAGACATGTCTCTGTTTCACCATCTGTAAATGGAAGGAAGGGTATTGACAACACACATGAACCTGCCAACCCATATAACCATACTATATGTTCCACAGAAGTTGGCCTGTTAGCTTAAACTTAGTAATTCACAAACAGAGGATACCGCATTCACACTTGGGAATCCAGGATCTTATCAGGGCCAGGGTTGGCAAAACCCAGTTTAGCAGATAAAATAAATTAGGTCCAGGCACTCAGGATTGCTGCAGGAAGGCAGGTTTATTGGAACAAAAATGTTTCAGCCTACACAGAGGCGCTAGCTTAAACTTGTCTGAACTTGTTTGTACTTATGGATATCATTTAGCATATTCTTTCCCTGCTAAATGATATCCATAAGTACCTTAATTATTAAACCTTAAACTGAACCTTTAAATATTTCCATAAATGTGTCCACAATGCAACCAAATCACTTATCTTTAATTTGATTATGAAAAGAGACACCGATATCACCAATGCTACAACCCTACGCCACTGATTGGCTCACACCCAGCTCCACAGATTACCTTCACCATGATAATGTAACCAGCAATTGCAAAGTACATCTGTTGGCACTATATAAATAAAACATGTGCCCTCTACAGTAATAACACCAAAGTGCCAAATACACTTCTCAAATAAATAAATCATACAGCTCCCTTGTCTCATACTGCATAAAGTACACAGCACACATTTTTCTTGGAATTTTTATTGCAACCGGCCTTTGGGTTGGTCAGAACAGCACCTGCTGTAGATCACTTTAAATACAAACTGACAAGACTCAACAGAGTAATACACACCCCAACGTGTACAGTATTCAACCATTAAAAAAGTAAAAATCGCATCAGAAATACTTTGTATCAAAGTCATAAAAACCAAAGCAAGCTTTTTACATTCAACAGTATAAACTGCTAATCTTAATGGTTTAATGCTCGAACAGAAAAATAAACTTTGCTCTGAGATGCGCTACATAAAATGATCATTCCTGATTGGTCAGTTAAAGCGAGTAGTGTTGAAATAACGGTTTTGTAACACTTTTGTTTTTTGTTTAATCATTATGATAGTTATAAAATGTTTTATCATATCACCATGTGGTACTTCCTACCAACATAGTCTAGTTGAGTATATATAAACTACACAAAGTATTGAGCATTCTCCTTGAATGTATTTCACATGGACATGTATATCTAGACAAGAAAAGCCACATGGAGTAAATGAATAATATAAAAAACCTGAAATTTAACCATCGTAATATAGTTAAATGACAACAAAGTAAGTTATTTTACACGATGGAGACCCTTTAAGAAATATGGGAGAGGTTCACTTTCAATGCTAATGTTTGGTTCAATGCAAATGTTTGCAAGGTATATTTCCCATGATCCTTAGGGCTGACTGATCATCATAAAAAGTACAAGACATACGTCTGATATGCCACGGTTAGCCATCATTACAGTAAAGTAAGGTTTCTTATTTTAAAAAACATCCGTTACAATAATAAAAAAAAAACAACCTCAGTTTGGTTTGAGGAGGAGTGGTATCACCAACTGATCGTCTTAGATATACACAACATTAATATATAAATAAGCACAATATTTTTGAAAAGATACCGAACTGGATCTTCAAATAATTTTCTTGCACAAGTCAATATGAAATTACCTAGTAGAATATTGGGGTGATTTGCTTTTGTAGGCATTTGAAAAAGGTCTTCTTATTTACTCAAGCATACTTTATCACTAGCTACCATAACAGAAAGCAGAAATTCACTCAGTCACCTGATATTGAATTGTATATTCTCATATATAACAATGCCTAGAATGTCCTGGACTACACAAATTATCTCCCAACATACCCTCATAAAAAACAGCATAGAAGCCAATTAGCTTATGGTGAAAGCCAAAATCTGGGATTTCTCTTAGAACCATTAAGCAGCGTCCTCACATCTCAATTTTATTTGCCTTTAACTGACTAGCAGTTTTGAGATTTTTAGTGTTGGTTGACAGTTAATATTTTTTGCAATACTTTGCACAGCTAGAAGAAAAAAAAAATCCATCAAAAACGATTTAACAACTATTTAAAGGAATACTATAGGGTTAGGAATACAAATGTGTATTCCTGACCCTATAGTGTTAAAAACACTATTTAGGTTCCAAAACCATAAATATGTAGAAAACTCACCTTTATTTCAGTGCCCTGCTTCCTATGGGAAAGCATTGAATTGGCTGCGATTGCCACTTCTGATAATCTCAGCCAAGGAGGCTGGGCGGAGTCAAATGCCATGCTGGCCAATCAGCATCTCCTCAGATGCATTAAATTAATGCATCTCTATAGAAGGACGTAGAGTCGCTGACTCAGGAAGTCCCTCTAGTGGCTGGCTGACTGCAATTGGAGGTGTTACTAGACACCAATGCAAACACTGCCTTTTCAGTATTTACATGAAAATTATAAGGCAGTATTTACATGAAAATGCCTGGAGGGACATACAGCTTACTGTAATAGTTCTGGGGAGTATAGTATTTGTTCTGGTGATTATAGTGTCCCTTTAAAGCCAAATAAACCCTGTCAAGCTTGTTGGACCCTGTAACAGTAAAATGTCAAAACTAAACAAAAACTATTTAGAAATACTGTTTATGTAAAAAATTTTGTTACAATAAACACACAAAACTTTGTTAAAGTAAGAAACTACTTTCAGACATGTACTTATTTCTAGAGCATAAAAAAAAAGAAAAGCATATATTGTGCAACATAAGACAACTTTGCTACAAAAGTCTTAAGTTTTTAAGTTATTTTTACACATTTTATTTAAACGGCATAGGGTCCAAAACTATGTCCCTATATTATGTTCAGTGGGTACCCCTTTGGCCCCAATAACTGCCCATAAGGAAACCCACTGGATACTAGAAATGGTCTAACAAACGGGTTTTGTAAGATTTATTTTATTACAATTAAATCACTGAGCTAATTTTACGATTGGAATTCAGGACACAAACTTTGTTGCCATAAACATATTTAAGATTCTAATATGAGGGGGGGAGAGGGGAGGTTACGGAGCAACAAGTCTCATTTCTAAATTAAGCTAAATAACAGAGCTACTAGTTAAGTGTGTTAACCCTCTATAGGTCGACGGCACAGAAAAGTACAAGAGTTAGGATGCCTTTGGTTTGATTAATAAAGGTTGAGGTTTACCGCTTTCTTGTGAAATTAAATGTGGTCACGTTGCAAGGGTATTAAGCACAAGACATTGATTATAAATAAAATTCCAACTGCTATTGCCTGATGGTTTCTCATATAAAATTGTAATCTCGTTTAAAACTTTAAAAAAGGTCATGTATGGTAAATGGAGCCTTAAAACCGTTTTGCAAATCCAAACCAAAAAAACAGGAGGTGGTAAGAATTAATTTTGTACGGATGAGCAGGAATAACTGACAGAGCTAGTTTTCAAAACAAAGTTTTATTGAAAAAAAGGAAAAATAATACCAATACTCCTGCTCCAATCTAGCACAGAGATGCATCAACCATGTGAAAGGGTGTCTATCAGATGCCTTAAATAGACCAGCAACCTGCTTGAACCCATTAATAATGAAATTAAAAATGTTCACCAAATAAATTCTGTACGTTGTCCATGATTTTATAAAATGGCTAGAATCTGGTAAAGGAAAACCAAAAAGGATGTTTGAGGACATTGGTGGTGAGTAAACACCAAAATTGATAAGTCCTTCCCTCTCTGAAGTCCCTTGAATACACGTTTAGAATTTGCCTTCCAAGCCGTGCAATTAATCAGCTCATTCTTATGAATTGGATCTGCTGTGTGAATCCTTTAGAAGAGCAAGGCTCCCATGCTTCCTACTTCGCTTTGCTCCTTCACAAAAATTTCAAAGTACTGGTATATAATGGTGACTGCCAACAAGATACCGGTTCCAGACCCAATTGCTCCAAGAAAGTCAGCCAGGACAGAAAGGGCTCCAATACAAAGACCCCCAAAAGCGGCAGCTGTTGGGATGTACCTGACATGCGAAAGAACAACATTTATTAGAAACCAAAAATAAACTCTTACTTTCCAAAGCTGCACAAGAAAAAAAAATCTACTATAAATACTGATTTTATAACTTCCTATATTCCACAATTACACAGGTCTTACTAGTTAATGTCACCTAATTCAACAGGACAGTGGAAAGGGTTAATATACTGCTTCACAGACAGACATTAGCAATCGACCAATATGCTCCAAGTGGAGAAATACAAATAATATTGAGCATTAGCAGACTATTCAGAGATGTTATTTACAATAATCTGATATCATGTTGAAAATACAAAACTATTACACTAGAATATTTTTTCCACATCCTGACTCATTCATCCCTTAATGCCAACACATCTCCTATAAATTACATTTAAAGTGTACTCTGAATTCTCTGGATTTAGACTATATTAATCTTGTTTCCCCCTTACTAAACCAACAGCTGTCTATATAAAGTTCATTATAGGAACAGCATTTTAATTACCGGTTGAGCTCATGGACCATGGAGGTCTCTCTGTGTCCTCTCATTACCATTTGCTGCTCTTTCAACTGCTTAGCAACCTACAGACAGATCAACAAAACACATCATTAAGTATCTTATATTATACAGTGGGGAAAGCAACAGATACACAGACTGAGGGGCTGAAAACATACATCCTTTGCAGATGAACCAGATACTTCTATCCAGGTCTTCGAGAAGAAAGCACAGGATCCAAGCATGAAAACGATGTAAACCACCGTATGTACCGGATCCTCCAGTACCAAAGCAAACGATTCCGGCGGAGACAGGTAGTAACAGAGTCCACCCACAGGGTAGGCACGGGCAGGGCCACCAGTAGAAGTGTCCTGAAATCACAGTATGGCAAATTAGTTTAAACTTGCGCATTATCTATGTTAAGGTTTTAGGGTTTATGCAACAA